AAGGTACTACCATGTGGCTTTCCTGGGGGCTCAGGCAGTAACGAAACCTCCTGCAATGCAGGAGACCTGGGTTCAATCCCTGGGTCAGGAAGATCCCGTGGAGAAGGAAATTGCAACCCACTCCAGTATTCTTTCCTGGAGAATCCCATGGACAGAGGAGCCTGGCAGGCTACAGTTCATGGGGCTGCAAAGAGTCAGACATGACTGAGAGATTAAACCATCAACTGGAAGTCCTTCTTACTGTATAGTCTGCATCCTTCTGCTATAGGAGATTGTCTCCTGGGACTGGAGGAAGGTAAAGGAGGAGAAACTCTCTCAGCCAGAGAGGAAGGAAAGAGAGAGACTCAGGATGATTCGACAGGGGGAAATGTGCAGAGATAATGAAATATGTTAAGCACAAGTTAATTTGCAAATGGGAGCACTTCACTTCCAGGCACTCAGCCGTCAGAGAGGATATCAGCCTCTTAGCTGCCCGAGCCCCTCTTTCCAAATGCTATAAACTTCTAATAAGGATGTAATACAATTGAATTTATTACAAACTTAATTGTTTACAGAAATGTACCCAGCTGCAGACATGGACTAGGAGGACTGACCCAGTGGAAAGATGGGAGAGCTGGAGAAGTATATTAGGAACATGACGAAGAATGGAGGATGAAGCGGGGATAGGAAGAGAAAAAGGAGGCGAGGGACACAAGAGGACAAGGGAGGCAAAGGGTCTGGAGTAGTAATGAGTCAGTCTATATCAGTCTAAGGATTTCTGCCTCTCCAGGGGCTCAAGGAGGCCCCATCCTCATGCTGGCTAAAGTGTCAGAGGAAGGAAACCCAAGAGAAGGGGGTTCAGTGACACCTCAACACTGGTCTATGTAGTGGCCAGGTGGACACTATGGGTGAGGCTTAGAGAGGGCAGAATTTCTAGGATTGGTTCAGAGACAGGAGTGCCTATGGAATGCTTTGGCAGGAAAGCTTAATGGATGGATCAGAGCAGTGGGCTGGCTTTTCTGGCAGAGCACTAGCTGGATCTAGAACCCTCCTGGCCCTTCTGCTCAATGTCGTCTTGTCCTTATCTTTGACTGACCCTGCCTCCCCCCAGTACATAGAAACACACCGAAAGGCATTCAATCATGCAACAAACAGGAACAAGTGCAGCTGTCAGGCACTGAGGATTCACCAACATGGCACCCATCATCAAAGTGCTCACAGTCTAACAGGCAGATGCAGGGACAGATGTAGTCGTGGTCTGCAACAATAGGATGGGAGGAGGAACCACAGAGCCTGGTGTGCAGTAGGTGACCAATGAATATTAAATGGATAATGTGAACCTACTACCAGGGAGCAGAGGGGAAAGGGGGCCTCACTGTGGAAGCTGGCCAGGTAGCACAGAGGGGAAGCCTTTGGACAAAGCTGAGGAGACTCTGAGCTTCTGGGAGGCAGGGGCTGGGCTTCCACATCCTCAGATTCCACCACTCAGCTCAGCATGGCACAGAGGAGGAGCACAGTAAGTGTTTAATAAATGAAATGATGCCTGTCAGGAACAGAAAGTCATCTGAAACTGGCTTAAGTGAAAAGAGAGAGAAAATGTGGCTCAACATAACTAAATTTCCTAGAGTAGGGTAGGGTGTTAGCATCAATATCCAGGCAACGCTGAGTGCAAATACTCATTGTCGCCATTGAGCAGCTCTTGGCTCTTCTTCTTGTGTTGGTTTTACACTCAGTCAGGCTCTGCCCAAGGGATGGTAAGAAGGCTTACTGTACTCTAGCTCAGCATTCCAGCACAAAGAAAGCACTTCCTCCCTTGCAGTCCCAAAGAAACCCCAGGGCTGACTCTAATTGGATGGGTTTCGTGATATATTCATTCTTAAACTGATCACATGTTACCAGGCTTTGGTCACAGGACTACTCCTGGAGTGGGAAGAGGGGTGAAGGTAAAGTGAAAGTAAACTTCTCCTCAAGAAAAAGTTGGGAAGAGGAGGCTTTCATCAGCTAAAAAGTGGTGCTGAGCAACAGATGAGCATGACAAATGGATACCTGAATGATTGGATAAATGGATTGGGCTTTGAAGGGTGAATAGGAGTTCACCAGGTGGAGAGAAGAGTGAGGGTCATCTTATATGTATGTGTACACACACAGAGTCTGATTTTTCATCCCTGGCTGCCCATTTATGTCCGTCCCCGTCTGTGTGTCTGGATCATCCTGGAAGCCCCAGAGGGCAGGGACAATGTCTGCTACACTCTATTTGGGCACTGCCCAGGCCTGTCCATTTAGACACTTAATCAAGGCTACTTAGGCTCTGCAGTTGCCCTCCCCTGCAACCAGGGTGCTCTCTCCTTCCTCCAGCAGCTCTGGGTTCAGCCAGGCCACAGTCCAGTCCTGGAGGAGGAGGTGGGAACTGTGCGGAGCCAGAGACCTGACAAGCGGACAGTGGGGAACCCTCTCCACAATCTCTCCTGTTCATCTGGGCATTCCTCCCTGCTCCCAACAACCTCAGAATGTCCTTAAGAAAGCACTCATGAATTGTAAACATAATAATCCAACATTAAAGAAGAGTTTTTAAAATGGAAAAAAAACACAATTGCTCCCTTCTGGTCTTGAGCACATGGTATATTGAATTTAGGTAGAATTGCAGCTCCACTTTTATCTACTTATTCCTCTCCCCATGCTGCCCCTAGGTTTCTAATTAGAGTTTTAAAGGCTACAGAAAGTTCATGGAGGGCACGCCTTCTTGACTTTCCCTATCCTCTCCCAGTGCTGTTTATGCTGCTGTTGGTTCATCTTCTCCTTCCTCCATTCATTCCTTATCCATGCGTTCATTCACCCACAGTTATCTAGTATTTGCTACACAGGCCAGTGCTAAGCAAGGAGGAATACCAGATGGATAACAGACACACTCACTTTCCTCCCCCAAGAGGCTCAGCATCCAGCCAGATAGCGAAGGCAATCACTGACCATGCGGCAGCCTGCTGGTGAGCCGGGGGAACAGGGTGCCTGAGGTCCACGTGGGTCACACAGGCTGGAACAAGAAAGAGGGCTTCCCGAAAAGACAATTCCTAGGCCTAGTTGTGAATGAGTAGGAGGGAGTGAGGCAGTTCTAAAGGGGGACAGGGTGGGGTGATGAGGCTGGAGAAATAAACAGGGGCAATAAGCTTCTTTGACTTTGGGTTTTTCCTTGGCTGAGTTCATCCCCCCACCCCTGCTGCCATGTCTTCATTCATTTGTCTGCTTGACCATTCGCGCAGTTCATTCACTCTTGCCTGCCTCCCTTAGAGTGGAACCCGACACAGACCTTCTGTGGGAACCCAGTGGAGCAGTCAGCAGCCCTTTCTCTCAGACTCTGGGGTGTATGCTGCAAGTGAGGGGAAGGTAAAATCAGGGACCCCAGGGGAAGCAAGCAGGAAGAGGGGGCTTCCCTTTCATTTGCGACCAAACGCAACAATCCGCAGGCCCCCAAAACCGGGCCGAAAATGAAAGGCAAAACAAAAGCAACCCCATAAAGCTCAGACTTGTCTATACCCCATTGCTGATTCACTGGAGGAGGGGCCTCCAAAGAGGACTGGGACGGGAGAGGGACCTCAAAAGACAGAGGAAAGAGAGAAAAGCCGCCAGGAAAATTACACGTTTCCGAAGCCGCCTGGGCTTCAGTAATGAGAACCAGAGAAAGGCCTAATGGAGATCAGATTGCCCAGGGGCTAGCTCCCAGCAGACCCCTCCCCATCCTGCTGAAGGAGAGGCCAAGGACAGGATGTATCAGGGAAGAGCCACTCTCCCCACCTGGTCCATCCCTTCCTTCATCTCAGCCAGAGTTGAGGGGATGGAAGCTGAAGGAGGAGGGGGACCAGGTGGACTGTTTCTAATGGGAGGCAGCAGGGTCGGGAGAGAGGGCAAAGGTCAGCCCTCGCCTGTGGCTTCCACAGGCCACTCAGTCAGTTGGTCACCCCCCCCACCACCACCACCAAGTCCCAGGCCCTCTGGCCAGGAAGGGCCAGAGTGGGCACTCAGGGTCAGAAGGGAACCTGGACTGTACCTCCTCTCCCAGGGGATTCCCAGCCCACCCAAAAAGACAGCGTTCAGGAAGCCCCCACCTGGGGATGAGGGACACAGCCCCGCCCTCAGGAGCCCCAGTCTGAGTCTGGTGGGTGGGGAGGCTGGTGCCAAAGCCCACCTGCTGCAGGATAGGATGGTATGTCATTGGAGGCACTCACGGCCAGGAGGTGAGAGAAAGAAAAACCAGCCCTCCTATTAATACTAGTACTTCTATACTGGTATTGCTTGTAATAACAACAGCCGTCTTGAACCGAGTGTTCATTTCCGGCCATTTTTGTGTACTCAGTCACATCTGACTCTGTGACCTCATGGATTGTAGCCTGCCAGGCCCCTCTGTCCTTAAAATTTTCCAGGCAAGGATACTGGAGTAGGTTGCTATTTCCTATTCCAGGGGATCTTCCTGATCGAGGGGTCAAATCCATGGCTCCTGAATTAGCAGGCAGATCCTGGTTAAAAGTTTGGTAGGTATTTAACTTGATTTAATCTTCACGACCACATCAGGAAGAGGAAAGATGGACAGGACCACTATTTTGCAGATGTGTAAAGAGGAGGCAATCACTTGCCCAAGGTCACAGCACTTTGAGGGAGCCCACCCAGCACTGGCATCCGGGGACTCAGCTCCAGCAGGCCCAGTGATCGGGACCCCAGGGGACCAAGGCCCCCTGAGCCAAAGCCATTTTCCTCCCTCTCCTCCTCTGTCTCTGTGTCTGCCTCTCAGTCTCTGCTTTCCTCTCCTTCCTGTCATCTCTTCTCGAGCTTGGTCCTTCTTTCAACTCCATGCTTCAGCTTCTGTCTCCTTTCTCCCTTTCTATCTCTTCCTCCTTGCATCTTTCTGACTCCATCTCTGCCCTGTAATGCCCTCCACCAGGCAACTGTCCATCAGGGCACTTGGTTCAGGAAGTGTTCATTTGTTCAATGAGCAGACCCAACGGGGTCTTCTTCCAAGGTATGGAGCCAGAGCCAGGGCCTGTCTGCAGGGTACTGCAGGGCACTTGGGCAGGGCACATAGGCCACCTGACTGCTCAGTGGATGCCCACAGCCCAGGAGAGGAGACCAAGAGGATGCTGGCATGAGGCAGCTGAACACAAGGTAGGGTAGCCGTGGAGAAGCTCGCCAGGTCTCTGGCTAAGACAGGGCATAAGGTGGGGATGGAAATGACCCTTCCACCCCCTCCTGCCTGTTACCCTTCCCTTCCGCCCTCCTCCTTATCATTCGTCCCCTTTTTCATTCCTTTTATCCTCTCCCCTTCTCTTTCTCCCCTTCCCTGAACCCATTCCGGGGCTTGCATTTTCTCTCTCTTTTTCCTTTCTCTCTCTCTCTCTCCCCCTACCCCATCCCTCCTCCTCCTCTATCGATCAGTCTCCCCAGCTCTAGCCAACACAGAGGCCTTGGATGGCGCTCACAGTCTTGCTTTAAATTTATTGCCCAGTAAAGGAGGAGGCAGATGGAAGTCTCCGCACCCCACCCCCAACCTCCATGTCTCCTCATCCCAACAAAAGCCAATCTAGACACGAATGTCGTCCATCAAATGCACCAATATGGGGTTATTTATAGGCCACCCCTTTCCAAGAAAGCAGAGTGTTTTTTCTTCCTCTCTTTTTTCTCTTTAAGCTTTCTCATCTCAGGAGCAGGGATTTGATATTTGAAAAGCTACACAATGAGGTCCCCATCCCTCAGATCCTAGGGTAGGGGGGCGCAGAAGTGTCTTGATTGGAAATGAATTAATTAGAAGTGAGGCTCTTCAAGTCTCCGAGTTGGGTTATTTATAGTGTTTGGTTAATTTTGATAATTAACACTGGGGATGAAAAGCGAGTTCTGGGCAAGGCTGTACCTGCCAACAGAGACACACTTCCTACCCCTTCGATTGCCCCTCCCCACACTGCTCTATTTGAACTCTGTCAAAATAGGCTACTCTCTGCCACGGAGCCCCAGGTTTTTCTAAAAACAGAATGAAGGAGGTAAGGGCAAAGGCACAGGGGCTGCTTGGGTGAACTGCTATTTCTGAGAAGTGGGGGATGTCTGGGGTCAGCTTCCCCATTCACCTGTGTCAAGCCAGTACCCCTCCCCTCTCGTGCCAAATTTCTTTCTTGGAGCAGCAGGTGCCAGGGTGCTGGTCTGGGCTGCATACTGCACAGTAGCCTACAGAAACACAGGGGAGTCAGGGAGACTGTGCCTGAGGTTTGGGCACAGACGCTCATTCTCCCAAAACTGCTGGGGAGGGGCCTTCAGACAAAGGGTGATGGGAACCAGAGACAGCAAGAGACGGCAGGGAGAGGGTGGATGGGCAGAGATTCTCAGAGAAGCAGGAAGTTTTGACCTGGATCCTGCTGCCTGCCCCCTGGGCAGGCTGGGCATTTCAAGGAGAGGGAGTGATCCGTCACCCAAAGAAGAGGGGCTTTCAGAGTGCTCCCAGCGTGCACGGCCAGCTCCATCTCAATCCACTTGCTCCCCTGTCCCCTGTGTTGATGGCTCAGCAGTTCCACAAAGACAGCCTCCTTCCACACTCATGCAGCCTCGGACAGCCCCGGTGCTGAGAACAGCCTCCCCTCCCGGCTCCAGTGAGAGCAAGGCCCAGCGCACCTGTGACCTCCCCTGGGATCCTCGTTTAGCTGGTGGTTCCCCTGCCTATGCTCTCCTAACTCTGGTGGAATTCACGGTGGAAGGTGGCTGTAAATATAGAACCGGAAAGACCTGGGGATGGAGTCTAAAAGGCCCTGTGAGCTCTTCCCTGAAGGTGTGGGGAACTTCTTCTTTGCCTGCGAGCTGGGCAGTGGGCTCCAGGCTGCCCCCCAACACTGGGTAGTTTACCAGGAAGGGATCACTTTTCTTCCTGGGATAAAGACCAACTGGACACCCTCGCATCCCAGTGGAGGGCAGGTGGGACCACCCAGCCCAGGTACAGGAAGTAGTGGGAGGCCTTTCTCCCTCCTGCAGTGTCCTCTCCCCCTGAAGTGCAGAGGCGGTCCGGAACTTCAGATGCAACCCTGCTCTCTTACACTCTCCCGGTGACCGAGGGCCCTGGGCTCCTGTTGTTCCTGCAGCCTGTGCCAGCTCCCCCGCCCTCCTCTCCTCCCCACCACGGATGTTCTCAGGTGTCTTAACCAAATCCCTTCCCCTGCCTTTCCTCCCCTTCTCTCCTGGCTCCCGACCCCAGATAGGAGGAAGAGAGATGGCTTCTCCCGGCTCTCCTCATCTCTCCATCTTCATAGTAAAATGCAATAAAACCCTCTGTGTCCCATCTCACTCCCCTTTGCACGGTCTTACCACGACTGCCCCTGCCCCGCACAGCCCCATTTCACTGGGATCTGGAATCGCCTCCAGGAAGCCTGCTGTGGCTGCCCTAGTTCTTTTAGTCTCCAGTTATGGGTACACTGGGCAGCCCCCACCCCCGGGTATGCTTCCATGTTGTTCTGGGAGGTACTTATCGGTTTGTTATTTTCTATCTTAAATGTTTTGTGCAGACCACAGCCCTTTTGGAGGATGGCAACCTGTTCCCGCCCCAGACTGGAGGCCCCCCTCTAGTGAGGGTCTTGGAAATGGAGCTCCTGCTCCCCACTCCACCCCACCCCAGGGTGCAGACAAGCTGTCCACGCCCCCTCCCTCCGCCCCCACCAGCCTGCCTCTGCTCTTCTTCTGTCTCCAGTGTCCAAGGCCTCCGGGCTTCTGCTGCTCTCTGTGGGCAGGGCCCTGGGCATGTGGCAATTCCAGGCCAGGCCCCTGACCCTCGGCCACCATAGTCCAACCCTCAGACATCCCTGAGCATTCCCCGCACCCCCCCCCCAACTTTTCAGCACAGGGCCCTTCGGGGAGCTGCTATTTCATCTCCAGCTTCCTCTGAATGGAGAGCCCATTTTTAATTAAAGTGGAAAAAGAGCTGAAAATCTGTTCGCATTTAATCATCTTGACGACCTTTTTGCTTAAGAGTTTCCAGCTGAGGGGGGGATGCTGAGAGGGGGATTTTGAATGGAGGGGGGCAGGCATTTCTTGAGAGTGGGCCTGGGTTGGGAAGGAGGAGGGAAATCTCTCACCAGGATGAATAATGGAACAGGAGCTCTGAGTGCCGACTCAGCACTTTCCTCCGTTGGTGCCTCCTCCGGGAGGTGCCCCCACCCGCACCTGCCGCCCCTGGGCCACACAAGAGCCTGGCCTCAGGCTCCGCAGGGAGCGGAAGCAGGGGCAGCCTGGGAAGCACAGGTGAGCACAGCCCTGGAAAGGCACTCTGCACGGCCCCAGGCCACACACCTCTTAGACTAGGCGCTCCCCAAGGCCCTGGGCCATGTCCCCTCTCCCCAGCCCCTGAGAATACCGGAGGGGACGGCAGCATTGCATCCCCTCCATGTTTCAGACATGCTCCCACAGGACAAGAGGCAGCAGTCTGGGTACCGTGTCTCCTCCCCAGAGTGGCAGGACCCGGGGCAAGGGTGCTCTCCCCGTCAGTCAGCGGCCAGAGTGGGTGGGACTGAGAAAGCCGGGCCTGCCAGGCCTTCTCTTTTAACTGTTCAGCCTTGTCTCAGGGCTCCCCCAGCCCAGCGGATCTGGCCTTGGGACGGTTGGGTTTGCAAGGGATCCTTCCCCGGCAGTTCCTCCCCCTTCCCTCTTGGGGATCTTCTCTTGACTGGGACACTTAACAGACTGTGCATCTATGCCCTTTACCCTCTTCTAGAAAACCAACCCAGACATTCGCACTTGACCCCACTTCCCAGACGCGCCAGAGTGAAGATAAGCTGGGGCCTGGGCTGTCTCCTCCCCCAGCGATTCCCGTGGGAATTGTGCCGGAGCCTGAGGCCTGTCACAGCTCTGGCTCTTATTGGCAGCAGGAAGGCCCCCCAAGCTTCCTCTCCAGTGCTGAAATGTCACCTCACCTCTCATCTGGTCTCCAGCCTGCAGGCCAGAAGCCACCATCAGCAGGAGCAAACAGAATAAGAGTAATTGACATCTGCCCAGTTCCCATGACACACGCTCAAGACCTCTTTGATTCCTCACAGTAACTCTGAGACTGATTCTCTTATGCCCATTTTATAGGTTAAAGAAACCGAGGCTCAGAGCAGGGGAAAGAACTGATCCAAGGGCACACAGGAAATAAATGTTAGGCCTGGGCCTTCCAATGCCTCCCCTCTCACCTTCATGTTCCTCCAGCATTGGGTAGCCCTACTCAGGTTTTCTTTAAAATGTCTTGAACTGTCCTGGGCTTCCCAGGTGGTTCAGTGGTAAAGAATCAGCCTGCCAATACAGGAGATGCAGGTTCGATCCCTGGATCAGAAATCCCTGGAGAAGGAAATGGCAACCCACTCCAGAATTCTTGCCCGGGAAATCCTGTGGACAGAGGAGCCTGGCAGGCTACAGTCCATAGGATAGCAAAAGAGTTGGATGCCACTTAGGGACTAGACAACAGCAACTATAACGTCTTTGGATGCAGGATAAAAAGCAGGAGAGATGACTCAGTCCTTGAGAAATACATGGCAACTCTGCCTGGGAAGGATCTATCTGGAGTGTCCACAGGAATTTCCTAGAGAAAGGGTACTTCAGGGGAAATGTGCCATTGAGAGGAAGGCAAAGGCTGGAGAGAAGGGAGTCCTCCAGAGTCAGCAGGGTACCCAATCTCTCCCCTGTGCCCTTACTACAAGGCCTGGAACTCTCTCCATCCAAGCACTTGTGTATAGCATTGACCTCTCTGGGAACCTCTTCTCCAAGACACAGAGTCCGGTAAAATTAAGTCCTTACTGCCTGTGTATGAACAAACCAATCAGATGTAATGCCATGATGAGAGGTATGAGTGCAAAACAGGACGTGTATGAGGAAGGATGGCCTTTGAAGGGAGACTACAGATGGGAATTATGGAAGACTTTGACCAAGGCCACAGTTATGTTGAAGGAAGAGAAGAAACAACCCTCATGGGGGCCATAGAAGGGCTCAGAGGTGGGAGAAACTGAGTAATGTGGGCTAGACGGGGTGGAGGCAGGAAAGGAGCACCCGTCTCTGAGGTTGTGCAGACAGTGGGAGAGGGCACTGCGGAACTGGCCCACTTTGCTGCTCCAGTTAATCTAACTGGTCTCCAAAATTAGTGAATTCCTCTCCCCTCTCACTGCTGATGCAGTTCCAGAATCCAACTGGGCTGACCCCAAACTAGTCCCCAGCCCACCCTGTCCCCTCATTGGTCAGAACCCCCTTGCAGCCCAGAAGGAGGCAACTCAGAGGTAATCACTGCATCACGCTTCAAATTCGAGGAGCTAGCTTCTAATGGGGGGCAGCAGGTTTCACTTACCTGGCCAGGCAGCCTGCCAGAGGCAGATGGGATGCAGCTGGGGAAGGCCCAGCATCTCCTCATCCCCCACCCCTCAGAAATTGTCCTTTCCTTGTCCACTGCCTTTCATCCCTTCTCTGCTTGGACATTGGGACTGGGGAAGAGAGGAGGTGATTTTTCCCAAAGCAGGAAAAGTGAATGCTGACTAAAAGAGCCTGGAAATCATGTTTTCAATCAAAACACAGAGATCATCCCCTGGCTTGCCTCAGTTCAGTTCAGATCAGTCGCTCAGTCGTGTCCGACTTTTTGCGACCCCATGAATCCCAGCACGCCAGGCCTCCCTGTCCATCACTAAATCCCAGAGTTTACTCAAACACATGCCCATCGAGTCGGTGATGCCATCCAGCCATCTCATCCTCTGTCGTCCCCTTCTCCTCCTGCCCCCAATCCCTCCCAGCATCAGGGTCTTTTCCAATGAGTCAACTCTTCGCATGAGGTGGCCAAAGTATTGGANTGCTTTTCGTCTGCATTACTTACGAAAAGAGATTTTGGAGAGCCAAGTCTCAAATTACGATTACCATCTTTTAGTCCTTTTCATCATTACCTCCCTGGGGGGAAAGTAGGGAAATGGATTTTCAGTTATTTCCGACGATAGCAAAAGGCAACCATCTTTCCTACGCCGCCTGCGTAGTTTACAAATTGATTCCAAAGCGATTACGCCGACGGCGTGAGAGAAGAGGTCAGTAGGTGGCGCTACGCTACTGGCGTTATGGCAGTTACGCCAGTGGCGTATCATAGCAGCCTGGGAGGCCCCTGTTGGCCGGGGGCGGGGTTGGTGAATAGGGAAGTGGCGCAAGTCCGGGGATCGCTCCGCTGAATCCGCCCGCGCGTCGCTGCCGTCGCCGCCGCCCCCCGTCCCGGCCCCCCCCCCGGGTTCCCTCAGCCCAGCCCGGTCCAACCCGGTTCCCGGGAGGATGAAGTTCGTGTATAAAGAGGAGCATCCGTTCGAGAAGCGCCGCTCTGAGGGCGAGAAGATCCGAAAGAAATACCCGGACCGGGTCCCGGTGAGGACAGTAGCCAGGGCCGAGGGCGCGGGGCGCTGGCGCTGGCGCTGACGCCACAGCCTGGGCTTAAGTCTGGGACCCACAGCGCAGGCATCAGGTTGCCGGTTGTGGCGGCGTTGGGAACGAGCCCCAAACCGCTGTTTCTGGGACCGGAGGTGAAAGGAATGGGGTACCAATAGAGCTGAAAGTGAGGAGATGTAGATTCGAGAGACAGACCTTGGGGTTCGTGTGGGAGGCTGTGGGGCGTTTGACAGTCCGAGCTTCACATAGCGTTTTTGAAGTTGAAGCTCTTGTTGGCCCCAATAAGTCGTCCTTGTCTGATTAACATAATTGTTTTATATGACGCCGTATTCAGGGATCCTGGATGTTTAGGTGAATTAGTCAATGGGGTCAGAATTCCTATTCAGGGCTGCGCCGCGTGTTAAGAGACAAAGAAAAATGAGTCTGGGGTACTTGTTGGTGCTAGGAATGTTGAGTTCTTGACAGGTGGAATTGTGCGTCTGTGTACCTAAGGTCTGCTAATTTTTATCTTCTCTTTAACAGGTGATAGTAGAAAAGGCTCCCAAAGCTCGAATAGGAGACCTGGACAAAAAGAAATACCTGGTGCCTTCTGATCTTACAGGTGGGAACCTGACCCAATACCCAGATTTGTTTCCTGGGGGTGGGAGTGCAGTCTCTGATGGAGGAGACTCCACATAGCAGTGTTCTTTTGAGGGTATTTGTGATCTCTGACTTTATCAGGCCTTGTATCTTTGGCAGTTGGTCAGTTTTACTTCTTAATCCGGAAGCGAATTCATCTCAGAGCAGAGGATGCCTTGTTTTTCTTCGTCAACAACGTCATTCCACCCACCAGTGCCTCAATGGGTCAGCTGTACCAGGAACACCATGAAGAAGACTTCTTTCTATACATTGCCTACAGTGATGCAAGTGTCTACGGTCTGTGAAGCTGCTGCCCCTAAGATGGGGGGTCCCATTCTACAAAGAGAGAGGTGGCCCCCCTTCCTTGACCTACTCCTCCTTGAGGTTAAAACACCACCTCCCTTCTTCAGGACCTGCAATTCCTAATGTTTGAGACTCTCCTCCAGACCCTCTTAACACAAAGGTTAATGGGCCTCTAATACCTCTCCTTTCTTTCTTCCCCTTTCTTTACCACTTTTCCCATTCTGCTTTAGACTTCTTGATTGTCAATCTCTGTCACATCTGGTGATTGTTTTGGTTTCTGTTCCCTTTCTAACTTCCCAAGGGGCTCAGAGCCCCAACAATCCTTTCTTTTCACTACCTTCTTTTTGGGGGGGTAGATGGAAGGGACTGAAATTGTGGGGGAAGGTAGGAGGCACATCAATAAAGAGGAAACCACCAAGCTGAAAAAAAAAAAAAAGAAATGAGTTGGGGGCTGCAGGCTGGTTCCCCAGGGACTGCTGCACAGAGAGCTGTGAGCAAAGTTCTCCAGGGGCCCA